TGACTACGTGGATACCTACGTGAACCTGACCTACAAGCTCATAGCGAGCCATCGATGGGCTTCTGCATTTTGCCAAGGTAGGCCTTTCTGGTGTTTGGCACGTTTTCATACATCACACCGACATCAAGTGCTAATCACTGACGTGAATTAAGGGCAGACGTGAGATTGAATTGCACATCGCTGTTTTTTATTCCGAGTGTTGAAACTCACAGTGCTTCTGAACCTTGGTGTGTGTGGCGTCAAAGAGATGCGATTTACAGAAGACTGAGTGAGATCTACCATGAAAAGGCATTGGATGAGATATCTTGACAAGTATGGGGTTCTATTAATCGAGTCAGTTGAATAGCCTGGCAGCGGGTAGCTTTTGTGTGTTCGCCGTTTCTCTCCCCACCGCCTCCAATTGCTACTTGGATTTGTTGTTGTTTGAGTAATGTGGTTCAGTTGAGGGATTGGAGAAGTAGGCGGAAGTTTTTATAATTAAATACTGGCTAGGTGTGTCCAGTGTATCCACAGATGTGTGGATGCTGTTTTAGAAAGCACCAACGCCTTAGCATCTCGTTATATCAACCTAAAGCTGCTTTTGAACATGCCAGTTACCATGTTGGAGCTGCCTTGAATCATGTGACAGCAGCTAAGTGAAGTGAGTCATTGCAAAGGTTAAGTTAATGCTGATCTGCTAATGTGCGCGTGAAGTTGAACTAACGTAGGTGAAATTGAAATGTTCAGTGTACGGTGGAACCAGCATATATGCCCACTGACGACTGTTATGTGATACATTGTAAAGTTTCCACAAGGTAGCATTGAAAAATGGACGGATTATTCTCTGTCAGTTCTAGGTATCGCACCTGGTACGTTGCTTACCAAGCGCCAATGTAAAATTGAAGTGTGCTTTGATGTTTGACAGTGAGAAGCGGCATTCAATTGATTAACAGGATGAATTCAAGCGAACACTAGGTGTCGCTGAATACATTTTTACAGTTGACCTATCATTAGAATGCTCGCGTTGTAGTTGATCAATGACACGGGCGATGATGCATTGGCCTTATGATAGGATGTACACGCAGTGAACATCGGTTGATAAGAAGGGCTCGATTCGTAATGTATGTTGCTTCTACTGTAACATTGAGGTAGGTTAGTATGATAATCTGGCAATTAAGATGCGTTCTCAGTTGACCCATCACCATGGTGATAACCAATGTGTTGAGGCCTTCAGCTAGTCGCGGAACCATCACGGTAATGGGTTGAAGGACGCAGCTCTTCAACGAGCGGACTGTCCGTGCTGTGATTTGTTTGACTTAATGCGTTGTAACATTGAGGCAGGTTAGTGTGATAATGTGACAATTAAAACGCTCTGATCAATGACCGACCAGCAAAGTGGCACTGCCGCGAGCGGTTGTAAATGGAGTTGATTGAATTGATTAGAGACGTATTAAGGCCCATTATGACGCTCGATATTGTCGTCTAATTAGGGGAATGTGCATTCCTGTGTTTTAGATAAATCCGACGTCTTTCTGTTTATTGACGACGACTACGAGTTCAACGCGAAGAATGTGCTCAATTACCTGAAGAGTCTGACGAAATTCGAGCGTCGCCATCTGCTCAGTGGATCCCTAATGACGTGGCGGCGTGTGGTTCGTCCGTTCAAGGACGCCAGTCGAAATAATTGGGCTGTGACTCGATATGAGGTTCCGTGGTCGCGCTTCCCACCGTACGCATGGGGCACGGCGACGTTTGTCGGTGCGGATGTACTCAGGGAGCTGGTCGTAGCCGAAGCCTACACGCGCTTTCTGTGGGTGGATGATGCGTTTATGGGCTTTGTCGCAGCTAAATTGCCACATCTGCATTTCCAAAGCATGAAGGGCTTCTACCTCGAATCCACCAATAACCAGAAGGCTCTCATAGCGCATTCACCCCTCAGATTCTCATTGGGTTGGGCCTTAGACAATGTAAAACAGTTGTTAAATAATTTAAATTTTTATGCCTGTGTTCCTTTGACCAGTGTGCGCTTGACTTGGATACCAGGCGGTAGTTGCGTAGTGGGAGCTTCTGCAGGTGTGTGCATGAAAGCCAAATTCGATGTCGCCTCTACAGGCGCAATTCGTGTGTGTGTGTTTAGGCTGACGATTTGCCTGTACACGTAGCCTTTAAAATTTGAGGGCAATTTGCACGCAGACGACTATGAGGCAAGTGAGCAAGAGAACCCTAGCATCCTCAGTGTATAAGTCGCCACCGAAAGCCGGTGGAGTTGAGTTGCATCCAAATTAATCTGGCGGGGGTTTCCACTCGCTGAGTGGTCCAATTTCGTGTGACCGAACATCGAGCACTCGGGACAATTACAGCAGTAGCTGGCGATGGTAGGGAGCAGTTTCAGGTTAGTGGCAAGCTTCGGTAAGAGTTGTCGAAGCAGCACTGCGAGCTGTTGTCGCAGGCATTGCTAGAACGAAGTGTGATTATCATAAATAGTTGACACCAGCACGAACTCACTAAATTAGCATCATTTTGTCACCTCTGAAGTATTGACTTTGTCTTCAATGTGAATCTCGTGTGACGGTATGACCGAATTCATTTCGATGATTAGAATCAAATAGTCAAAGGATTATGGGACTGAAAGTGTTTCTCCTTATTTTTCGTGCTCACCTCCACCTGAACAATGTCACGTGGCTTCCTTGACGTCTTTTTTTCTGCGAAAAATGCCGATTACTTTGAAGAATGCATTGATCATGATGTACTATGTGCTCTCACAATAGATACGTTTGCACCAGCACTCGATGAATTGGATGTTTGGCGTGAAATGAAGGCTTTAATGTGTGCAAAGTCCAATGTACTAGAACCACTTGCACAAGTAGAAAACCTTCAGGCTTTGCGACCGTGCATGTCAACTGCCTCGCTGAGACCCAGTCATTACACTTCGAGGCGATTCCAAATTTCACATCTACAAGGTTTGAAGTCAGCATGGCTGATGGTTGAGAGGTCGTTTATAACGTTAAGTGGTATCTTAAAATTGGTGAATTAAAATGTCCAGAAAATTACCTCAAAGCACATGAACCAGGCAACAGTTTGTACACGTCGATGACTGTTTATGGTAATCATATGGAGTCATTTTGATGGATAGGTCAGTGCTAAATTTTGTAAAAATATTTGCTAGTCAAATGGGTTGCTGTGACTCGTGTTTACACACACTTTTTAATCCGGTCGCTGCATCCTCCAACACAGGGCTCACCTTTTCGCGGCATGTCGCCAGCCGCGCGGAGCCTCAACTCCCCCTACATTCGGCCGAATATTTATCTTGGCTTGTCCTCACACCTAAGTCTCGCTGTTAGCGCATCTATGACTCACGCATCTGAGGTATAGATGCACACGCGCAAACCCCACACACGACACAACGACGCCAACGTGGTTGGGCTCTGAAGTAAACAACTGTGTCCACGTCCTCTCCAGTCTTTTCGTCATCGCGGGTATCAGGGAAGCATAATCGGGCCAGGATTAATATGGTGGCCCGGTGTGGTTTAAGACCACATGGTGGGGCCCACAACAATCTCAACTAATAGAATTGTCGATTGTTTGTGCAGAAGTGATCTTGATTACCTGTCGAATGTTTGAGGCAGTCAGAAGCAATAATTGGCGACCCTGTCATGCTGAAAGGTTCTTGAAATCCCATAACAAGGTTACGTAGGTGAAGTTCTCAGTAAACAATCCAAGGGTATATCGCAAGATTCTTCTGACGCTATATGAACCTACAAGAACTTTGAAGTTTACATTGAAATTCCAAAAAAAACCCACGTAATACATAGGTTTTTATTTGCTAAACCAGGCTTCAATTTGAAATGCACTGGAATTCCAAAATGTTTGGTCCCTGTGCAAAAGATAAAACGAAAAGTGCTCATTCTTTTCGATGACGACAATTCTTTTTGCCTAGCACACTTTCTTCTAGATGACGCATTCCATGTTCATGATTGCAACGCGTCAAGTCTGTGACGGCGTCGATTGCTCGAAAGAAATCGGCTCTCTCTAGGAAGGCGCAACCACGATCAGTCGTTAAAATTACTGTTTCGAAGAGCATCACGATTCACAACAGACTCGTCTGACCATCGTTCATGGCAAAATCGATGTTGAAATGAGACAGATTCGCTGAATAGATCCAACGGCATGAAGTGGATTCCGTATTAAGAAACCACAATTGGAAAGTCAATCGGATTGTTCCAAGCCCGAACCCAGACGCACGAACACGCACACACGTCTAATCTCCCAAAATTTGACTTTTTGGTGAGTTGATGAGGAGATCTATGTGTGAGACTAACGTAACGCAACTAGTGGGGTGAATCAATACTCATTCATGCCTTCGAATTAACAATAATCAAATTTGGTGAATGTGTTACACAAAGCGCAGCTGATCAAGAGTTTAATTCTAAATCACGCGTTTTGCTTCCCCACCCTCTCCTCATTCTCTTCAACTCAGCACGTGCTTCAGACCGACTAGTTCAGAATTAATCCATTCGTCAGACAACCAAGATGTGAAACCTCTTAATTGGATAGGTGAATTAACTATCCAATGAAAGTTGATTGACTTCAAATTGAGATCAACTGTGGAGTTGGTTGTTTAGATCGGTGTCTGTCTGTAGATCTGTGCACTTCGCAACTTCGAACAATGTGTTATGTTTACCCGTAACCAAGACTACACCCACTCAGATAACCCGTACCCAGATCCCTTGTCTGATGCTGAAACTGACCTCCCCACGCTAATGCAAAACAAGACAAGACAAGACCTCCTGCAGAGAACTTTTATCGTCTCAGCCAAAGGCCCAGAGATCTCTCAGAATGTCAACGCTGATGTAAGTCAAGGGTGAACTTGACCTGAGGGATGAGAGCGGATTAACACCGATGGGTTTGGCAGTAGGGTGCCGTTGGTGGCTCACACGCTGACGTGGCGTGGTTAGGGCATTTGTGTAAGCAATTATGAAAGCCTGCAGAATCCTGGATTTCCAGCACAATATAACCCTTCTACTGATAAGAAAACGGTAGGTTGACGACCAGTTACATTTTCTCACCGTCTGAATTGGAACCATCATCATACACTCCTGTTGTGGTAGTGGAAACGTTACATCTCGAACTTTTCGTTCGTTGCTTCCAAGTAAACTTGACTTGCATCCCGATGGAAGCTCAGTGTAATTGGCAGTTCAATACTTCGTTATCACCATGAAATTAGTCTTTATTAGGGCAGCAACTAGTCGGATATTCGTGGGTAGACCAATGCGAGGGTGCCATCAATGTTGACTGAGTGCATCATTGACCATTTGTCCTGTCGTTGCAGTGTTGGGCAATCAGAATTCCCCATCGCGTGTTAGAATTCCGTCATTGTTTACACAATTCCCCTAACCACGCAACTTCAGTGGGTGGGTCACCCACGTCACCCTCCTGACAACTTTCTCTGTGTTAATCCGCATTCATCCTTTAGGTCAAGGTCACACGTGACTTTAAGAAGTGACCACATTCTGACAGATTACTTGGCCTTTGAATGAGACAGTAAAAGCTCTCTGTGGAAGGTTTTGTCTTGCCTTGACCTGGGCTAGACAGGTTGGCTCTAGCGCCAGACAAGGGATCTGGGGTACCAGTTATCTGAGTGTGTGTGCAAAGCGTAGTGCGATTGGGCGTTTCCAAAAACGCCTGAGGCGGTGTTGGCACATGACATGCTGTAGTGGCTAGTGTCTAGCACTACCTTATAACCCTCTAGTAAACAGCCCGAAACAACCCGAGAATGTAGTGAAGAGAGGCGACAGAGGACACGACCGTTTGTTAGCGTTACGCCAGCCAGGTGTGTGGATGAGTGAGCGGATGACACGCATTTGACAACAGTAACCAATGGAAAGGGAATGAGCCATTGCCACCGTCAGGTCAGTAGACAGGGTTCACTCAGGCGCGATCCCTGTTAATCCGCTACAATGCCATTTCGCAGCAGTGCTGGTTTGTGTGTTATAGAAATAAAGGTCTTTGTGACGCCGGCCCGCATCGTCCGACAAAAACTTTGTCATTCCTTAACATCATTGAGATTTATTTACGGCGCTGATCAATTCTGATTGTAGGAATCAGTGATAGGTCTTTTGCCTTAAGTTACAATTTCTATTACCGAGTCACTCCATCACCACGCAACTTTTAATGATAATTGTCTTAGTCTGAAGGGCCTCGGTGATCAAGTGGCGAGAGCTGGACACTTCCACGTTTTCCCCCAAATCGACGACGTTTGTGCAGACAGACGCGTTTACAATGGAGAGATTTCTATAATCACTGCATTTTTGATAAATTTTTACATCAGTTGTGAATAGCGTTGATTAACACCCGTAAATCCGGTCATTCCAGCCTCCTTTTCTCAGCATGTTGAGGAGCCACGCCGATCCTAACCTTCCTCTTATTTGCACGAACGATTATCCCAGACACACGCACACACACACACATCTAAGACATAAACACACACGAGCAAGCGCCACACACGACACTGCCTCAGTCTCTCCGTGGCAGTCACACACTAACCAGGTCTTCTTACAATCTTAGTATATTGAGCTCATCATGTGCCACGGCGTTTGACGCCGGACTACTTTGACCATAAATTAGATTACCACACGAAACAGTAGAGGGACTTCACTTTGCATCCATCGGAAACAAAATGGCCCCTCCCCATGTTTTACAATTCTTACATGCTTCGGCAGCAGAATTTACCACCTCTGATTGTGTTGGGGATCTAGGATTCCCCAAGATTGCCCATCGCCGATCTTTGTCATTATTTACATTACTGCCATGACAACTGTTTTATTACGTTTTTTATCAGGTCAAGGTCACATTTGACTTGAATTAGTGCACATGTTTGACACCTTAATCACAAGTGACTGACGCGATTAAAGCTGTCAACACGAGCTCTGGTCTTGATCTTGTCTTAACGTGGGAAGGTCGGTTCTAGCATCAACAAGGGATCTGGTACCGTTATCTGAGTAGGTGTTTTCTTTTGTTACGGGCAAACGTAACAGGTTGTCGAATTTACGATATGCAAATCGAGCTCCTAATGAAACAACAATAGCAACATCAACAACAGCAGATGATTATTTGAGTCCCAAATAGATAATCCCAGCTCGAGTCATGAGGCTTATCGTCCAAAGCTACTCCCAACTGCATCGTTAGCAGGCTACATTCAAACAAATAGTGCTGTTTTAACAAGAGTTTAGCTCTTTTTGACCCTGTCTGTCCTCATTGTATTTTGGATAGAATCAAGTCAGTTATGGAGAATCTCTTACCGCGCAATGCTTTTCCCCAGACTGCCACCTCACGTGAGTGATGCGGGTATCATGGCCGAGTGTACCGATGAATCTCTGTCGCCTCCTTTTCCCCTCTCCTCGGGTTGTTACGGTCTGTTAACTAGAGGGTTGTAAGGTAGTGTGAAGTCTCTAGCCAATACACCGGAATTCGGCTGATGTCTGTGTTAGCTTGTCATAAGAGCAAATTACGCGCGCGTTTCCTTTCAGCCGCTAGTTTAGGCTTAGTTTGAGCATGAAATGCAGAAAGATATACTTGTGGAATATTCTGCAGCTTTGTCGTGTTAAGTCAACGTACTTCGCACGAGGCATCACGGTCTCCCTACCAGGCTCTGTTTGTGCGGTTCACGCGCATCCAAATAAGTTCACCTAATCACGTGGGACTCCTTCTGTCCATTGACGCACCCGACAAAGTCAGCACATTACTCATGTCGCTGAAATAGCCCGAAGTGTTATGGTTCACAACCACATAATGCCTCGCCTCACACAACTTGATGTAAGAATATGGCAACTCAAGTAGTGAGAGAAAGCACCACTCGCCCACGTGCTTTCATTGTGCCGTTGAAGTGGTTAGGCGGCAACCACAAAGTCATTGGCACATCTTAGGCCTTCAAAAATAGCCAACTTTGGTGGATGGGTTACACAAAGCATAAATTCGAAAGCGTGGGTGGAGTGTCAAGTGTTCAATTGGAAATCATGCGATTTGCTCCTCCACACTCTTCTCATTCCCTTCAGCTCAGCCCGTTCGTCAGACCAACTAGTTCATCAAGTGATCATATTGTGAGACACCTAATTGTATATGAGAATTCACTATGCAATGAAAGCACCTAATAGCGATGTGTGATCAGCAGTGGGTTTGGCTGGTTAGGTTAAACGTTCACATTGCCTCAGTCTGAAAAAAATATGATTCTCTTCTGCTTCACAACTGCTACATACGTGGGCGGCAGGAGTGTTCACCTCTGGTTCCCGAATCTATGACATGAAAATCTAGCTCCTGTTGCAACAATAACAACAAGCAACCACTGCGAGACTTTGGGCGTTGCCTAACCCTGGTGGTCCCATTGGAATGTCATCAGCTGTGGACCAATCGGGTAGTGTCAATCCTCTACTCCATCTGGTCTCCACCCTTGGCCATATTGCGTGTGTGTTGCAATTTTCCAAGAAACTGAACTCTAAGTTAAAGTTTCGATAACAAGAATGTCCTCACTCACTATTCGAATAACATGGCTGCTATTCTATCAACCTACTTCACTGTGTGGGTTTCAAAACCGGTCATTTGACATATCTACAATAATGGAGGCCAGTAAAAGTCTTCGACATGAAAGAGACTCGATCACGGTGTGGGAGAAATGAGCGACTGCACATTTTGCCCCATGCGGGCGAGGATGTATTAATGAGAGTAGAGATCGGTGTCCGTGGAGTTGTTGCTGCGTTCACGACTGTCTATTGGCTTTGATCAAGGTAGCTTTGTTAAAGATTGCTTTGCGTGTGCGCGTGTGTGTGCGTGTGTTTAGGCTGGTGATGCAATGTGAAACACACTGGAATGAAATGACTTGTTAATTACGAGTGATTGCAGATCTGAATTCAGATCCGGGAGTGTCGACTACTGATTTAGATCGACTAGTAAATATCCACACAGTTACACCCGTGGCTACCGGCCTTGTTCACCGGAAGGCACCAAGTTACTTTCATGCCTTGTTTCAAATAAGATGTCTTTATGCTACTGTTTAAATAATAAAGTCTGTAAGAACAAATACAGTCAGCAACCGCATTTGTGCTCGCAATCTTTTGGAGGCGCCTGCATGTGGCCTTGAATCACACCGAACACTCTTCGGCGTTGTATTTGCTCGATTACGCTACACTGATTCCCGCGACAATCATGCAGGACAATGATGGTGGAGACCATCGTTTTCTACAGCTCCAAGATATTTGTGATTGTCACGTTACTCTACATAGAAGGTTGTGTCTGAAGAATGAGAGATGTTGACCACTGCTGTCTTATGAGCCTCCAAATGGCCGATTAGCCGGGTGAATGAAACGGGTGGTGTGATGGTGGTGGTGGTACGCACACAGGAGTGCTTGACGCTGAAATAGCCTGAAGCGTTGTGCTGCACTGCGACATAATGCCTCATCCTACACAAGTAGTGAGAGAAAGCACCACTCGCCCACGTGCTTGCATTGAGTCGTTGAAGTGGTAAGGCGGCAACCACCGAGTCATTGGTACATATTAGGCCTTCAAAAATAACTAAATTTGGAGAATGGATTACACCCAGCGTTAATTCGAAAGCGTGGGTGGATGGTCAAGAGCTCGATTTGCACCTCCACCCTCTCTTCAGTTGCCCTGGCGTGGTTCGAGATCACACGCTGAGGCCCTCAACACATCTCAAGTTCAAAAGCCCACTTTCTATTGCAACAAATTTCTCTTTCTGTTTCAAAACGTTGATTGTCACGATCTGTGATAGTGTATCTCAAATTCCCACAATGGTGTAGTTATCCATGGGCAGGGGATGAAGTTCGAAGGAATGCAGTGGGGTATGGTGTGGACTGCTTTTGCCACAAATGGTACAGCCGCTCTTGAAATGCAACCCGAGGCAATTGATGGGCCTTCAAATAATGTCGACACAGCTTTAACATCTAAACCACAGACTACATTTTCTTCGAGTTACATCTGATGTGTAATGACCTCTTCCGTTGATATGTCTGCGATTTATAACCGAATGAAAAATCACGTTTATTAAACTGGTGTAGTTTCCGTTGGAGTCCTGCTCGCTTGAATATTGCATTGACAACATATTCACCAAACCGAGACCTGACGACTACTGCACTTTGCACAAATCTTGATAAATCGTGGAAGCGTGATCCATCTTCTTCTCTTGGTGTCCATTCAAGAAGAAGGCGATTTGGCGTTCTCCTTACATTTGTTGCACACATAGATCAACGTCCATTGTTTTAAGCAGCATATGCCTGCGATATTTGCACAAAACTTGGGTTTAGAATCACTTCGAAGCAGTAGACACTGTAGCCGGTTGACAAGTTGAAATCACGGTGATTAGAGCAACAAGACGTTGCCTTCTACGTGGTACGTGGATAGAATTCAGCATTTGTGGCTAAATCCCATTGAACACGATTGACTTTTTGTAAAATTAAGCGTGAGACTCGTCACATTGGTGGTTATTTGATCGTCACAGCACTACCAAAGGCCAACCATCCTCTTAAGCTTTTAAGAATTAAACTAAATCTGGCATTGTCGATTAGCCAATGTTGCTCATGTGTGAATGAGACGCTCTGTGGGCTTCAAAACCGGTCATATGACGTATCTTTAATGACGAAGGCCAGTGAAATTCTTCAACATCAAAAAATGGACTCGATCAGCGCAACATGGGATATGCGGGTGATGATGTATTTAAGACAGTGGAGACTGGTGTCCGTGGAGTTGTTGCTGCGTTCACTATCAAAGTACCTTTGTTAAAGATTGCTTTGTGCGTGTGCGTGTGTGGGTGCGCGTGTTTAAGCCCGTGATACACTGTGAATCACACTGGAATGAAATGACACGCAAATTACGAGTGATTGCAGATCTGAAGTCTGATTTGGGAGTGTCGACTACTGATTTAGATGGACTACTGAATATCCACACAGTTACACCTGTGGCTACCAGCCTTGTTTATCGAAATGCACCGAGTTACTTCCATGCCCTGTTTCAACACATACGTCTCTATGCTGTTACTTAAATACAAATTAAGTAGGCACAAATATAGTCACGATATTTTGGAGGCACCTGCATGTGGCCTTAGACCACACCGAAGCCGCTTCGGCGTTGTACTGACTCGATTACGCCACACTGATACCCCCATCAATCAAGTAGAACAGTGTTGGTGGAGACCATCGTTTACTACAGAACCCAAGTTGTGATTGTCACGCCACTGTCCATAAAAGGCTGTATCTGAATAATGAGAGATGTTGACCACCGCTGTCTGGATGAGCCTGTTAATGGCCGAATAGCCGGATAAACGGAACGAATGAATGAGATACTTGTTAGGCTAACTCATACACACATCACACACAGGAGTGCCTGAGCAGTCGGCTTCGCATGATCGATCGAAAGGGCTTCGTGAAACGGAGGTCATCGTGACGACGAATGCGACGAACATGTGAGCGGATTTAAATAATCATGCTTCACTATAGCATGATCTAATTGAGGTGACCCATATAAAGGCGATTTTATAGCCTCAATTTTGGCGGACTACGTAAATGTTCCTCATAAATGTCTATCGCGTTGGTATTATGGTCTGAGCCTGTGATTGTGTTTACGTAGAGGAGGTTGCAAACATCAGAGGTGATGTAGACGATCGATGAGTTGATTGCACAAGTCAGCAGCAGTTGTTACTGCGTCACTTTGTCGACCCTGTCGTGTGAGAAATATGCGCAAGCGAGTATGTCAGGAGAATGGTGAATTCAGTTCCAGTGCTCAGTTGCCGATTCTACCACACACACTCGCACACACACACACACACCTTGTGCCAACTCAAAATTCATCAAGGATTTCTTGTTGAGAGTGTGATGATTTGCAATCTGCTACAGCAGACCCGTGCAAACACATCCAGCAAAACAAGTTACCTGAAGGAATGGTTCTCTGAAGTGAAAGTGACGAGAGGGATTCCAGCATCGTTATTTGGTGACGAAGTGGTGGCGAGGAAGAAAATGGACAGGAGGAGCCATAAAGCAGTAAGTGTTGCAAGCTGTTAATTTCCGGTTTTGGTGTCCATGGTGGGACGGTAGTCCCAAGTTATCACGTCCTCGTCCGAAGCGACCTTTACCCAACATCCCTGCAACCTCCGATGACAGTCAGTTAACAGCGAAAGAGATGTTGAAATGGGTTTTTTTAGTCGTGTGGTTAATCACTACCGTGGGATACTAGTTAAGCTAACCCACACACACACACACACACACACAGTGCTATATCCTTGGCCACACATGCAGCCGCAAAGAGGGCTAGATAATCTCGGCCATGGTGGAAGATTTAGTATTAAACTCTCATTACATAACTGGCATTATTCTTAAAAAAATTGCAAATAAAATCCGAAACAAATTGACACAGCTATAGAATAGAGGTTAAAAGGTGCGGAGCTAAACAGGGCAGGAATTGTCGATATTGCGAAAATTGTGTTCATGGTTTCATTAGTCAGCCTTATTGCCAACGTCTAACGCAAGCATCCTGGTCAAGAAAACCACGTGTATTTCCCAAACACTACCTTAGGTGCAGAAAAATGGCCCTGTGGTGGTTTGTCGAGTATTTCCCCAGCAGCACAGTCAAGTTTTCTGAAGCCAAGTCACTTTCTGATGACGAACTCTATGGGGTGCAATGATACGTCTTCTCTTAAACCGCCAAAATGGGTGTGGTCAATCAACCAAATATGAAAGTCAAAGGTGAAGATTTCTGCTAAATTAACGCCGCACCATGAGCTCTCAAAATACAGCAAGTTCAGTTGTACAAGTAAATCAATGACTTAGTTCTTTTAAAATAACTTGCTTTCCAAACTCTAGGAGTGGTCTAAAAAAAACAGGTATATTGGCCGTAAAATTCGCCACAACTCTATCATTGTCAATTAATTTGTTCGTTTATTTGATTGATAAATTTCGGACCATTTGGTATCCACTTTCATTACTAATGATGGAACCGAGTACACTGAAGGGCGAATCAGAATAATTGTATATCTATTTTTCACAACTCAACTCTCGGTCGAATCGGAAGGTTGAGAGGAGCCGAAATGCCTCACACCGCACCATCATTCTACCTGGCATTTTGCCCAGGTGTTGATTTAACGTGAACTACTTGTACAGTCATGCACGTGCTCTAGTTTGTTTGAAAAGTCAACCACTGTTACCTTGAACCAATGACATGCTACTGAGGATAGCTGCATTGCATAATTCTAGAATACCCGTGAAAACGAGGACAAATGGCCAGTTGGCTGGCTGGCTATCACGAAGTGGCAGAGTGAATAATGTTCGCTGCAGTTGTGTGTTTAACTTTACAAAACGCACATAACAGGAAATAGGCTATCCGACTCTTAGTATAGGAAGACAGACCATGTTGACACTCCAAAGGATAGAACCATCCATTCCTTCATCCGCTATTCATTTTGTAGGTTCCTCTCATTTATCCTTGTTTCTGGTTGGCAGATAATCTCCCACAACGAGGCAATTAAAATACACTCAAACACCGGATTGGATGAGCTGCTTGCGTGATCCAATATGACCGCAGTGTGTGTCGGTACTACAAATGTACAGCATTGGTCGCAGTTATTTAAAGTGATCGTTTTTGGACATGACAGATGAACAGGCGGAAATTTCGATGACAATTGCGCATCTTGTAGTACTCCTCGCCAGATTGTGTACACTTCTCTTAACCTTTGCCATGAAAACTTGGAAATTCAATCAAGACGAATCTTAACTTGTTTCTGATTTCTACTCAATGCTGAACCTTGCTTCAACCAATTATAAAGCAGTGAAGCTTTCATGCCCAATAACAGCGCAGCCTACTACGATTGGTTAATTAAACGAGGCACGTCATATTAATTGGGCCGATGCGTTGACTGTCAACATACATCAAGCTAGATTCACCACAAAGAGTATGATTTCGACAAGAAGGATCAAACCGTATTTAACGATTTGCACTGCTTTTGGCGTATTTATCCTTTTCATGATATGGCACAAGTCAGCACAGAATGCTGTCACCTACCGCAGTTCGTGTGCTTCATGTGGTCATCACGCAGTGCATTATCGCATTCCCGATTTCGATGGGGCCAATTCGTCGTGTCGGTGTGCTCGTGGACCGCAGGTGTACCGGTGGCCACCAGTGCGCGTTCCGGAGGATCTCACCTGTTCGGATTCCTCGTACGACCTGACGTTGTGTGTGCGAGTGAAGTCCTCGGATGAGCCCGTGGAGACGAGGTTGCACCAGCGATTGAAGGTGCTAGACAAGGACCACGAACACGGTGACGAGGAATCAGCCCTACTTCGTTGGTTCGAGTTGGAGGGACACACGTTGAACGGTGGTGAGGGTGAATACGACATGTATCCGTTGGCCATCAATCTCACCGACACCCTGGCTGCCATAACCAATGGGAAACCGGCACCGTATGTAAGTTGCAGACAGTTTGTGTGATAGGTTGAATGTGCTGCAGAAATGCGTGCAACCGGATTAATTACGAAGTCGGTTGTTTTCTTCGACAAATTTAATGTTGTAAAACCACTAGGAACATCAGAAAGGACTATGTTGTGCTCTTGGCAAATAGCCAGTTATTCGTGCTATTACGCCTAGTATGAGGACTCGAGTCATTTCATCACTAATAAACCCTACAAACCGTTTTCATCCACCATGTGGACACTGATTGGCTGAAGTCATTGAGCTGACACTCACCTCAAATTGCACTGGATGACCAATCGGTTTCTTAGTGGCCCAGTCCCAATTCAAACCCGGGTTAGCGCATAACACCTGACCCCTCAACGCTTTGATGCAAATGCTCACAATGAATGTAAAAGCTGGTGGTTGCATTCAGCCAAAAAAATCTCTCTAAGATCATTCGAACTGCATTCGTTACTTTGGTCGTTTTAATAAAACCTGCTAGCTGCTTGTGGTACCTACTATAAATACATTTTGCTGAATTGGACAAGTCAGCCATGAAGGAGTGTGTCAAGGATGAGCTGTGTGCAAGGAAATCAAGATAGGTTGTAAAATCCAAAGCAGCATGATGATGATTTGATATCTTCGTCCATTTATTACAGGCCCCAATCACCAATCCTAACATCAAACTCATACGTACCAGTCGCACTGCCTGTGCACCTCACGACCAAGCCTCGAAGGACGTCTACGACCTAGTGGTTATCTTCCGGTCTGCGTCATACCACTTCGAGGAGAGAAGTCGCATTCGCGAGGCAACTCGCAATCTGCCAGATCGTATTCGTGTTGTGTTCGCACTGGGTCAACCGCGCGCCGATGTGGCAGGCAATCTGTTCTACATGAACGGCGGCTTTGATATTCGATTAGCAGAGAAGGCAGGTGCCAAGGCCGTGGAGTGGGCACAGCGGGCAACCGAAGCTCGGGAGAGAGCTTCGGCGGAGGCAGACGAGTTCGGTGACATGATCATTGGTGACTACGTGGATACCTACGTGAATCTAACCTACAAGCTCATAGCGAGCCATCGATGGGCCTCTGCATTTTGCCAAGGTGAGCCTTTGTGGTGTTTGGCACGTTTTCATACATCACACCGACATCACGTGCTAATCATTGACGTGTAGTGAGATCAAGCAAAAGACTGAACTATGTGAATTTGTTTTCAGTATGAGTTCCGTAACTCACAGGGATGTTTAAAATTTGTTTGGTTAATTGATTGGAGAAGGAGCCAGAAGTGTTTTTTTAAAAAAAAACTGGTTAGGTTTGTCCAGTGCATTCACAGAAGAGTGGATGCCGTTATATCAACTTCAGGATGCTTCCGACAGGTCCTATTACCATGTTGGAGCTGCTTCGTAATCACGTGACAGCGGCTTAGTGAAGTGAGTCATTGCAAAGGCTAAGTCAAAGCTGAGGTGCAGTTGTGCGTGTGAATTTGTACTAGCGTAGTTGAAATTGAACTGTCTAATGTTCGGCGGAACAAGCATATGCCCACTTACTACTGTTATTTAATGCATTGCGACGTTACCACTTCGTAGCATTAATAAATGGACGGCTTAGCCCCTGCTAGTGATCGGCATTGCACCTGGTTTGTTGCGGATAAGGTGCGAATGTAAAATTGAAGAATGCTTTGATGTCTGACAGTAAGAAGCAGCATTCAATTGATTAACAAGATGAATTCAAGCTAAGACTAGATGTCGGTGAAGGCTTCTCAGTTGACCTATCCCCATGGTGACAACCAATTTGTTAAGGCCCTCAGCTAGTCACTTAACCATCACGATAATTGCTTGAAGGACGCACCTCTTCGTCGAGCAGACTGTCCAGGATGGGAATGTGTGTAGCTTAATGCGCTGTTACACTGAGAAAAATTTGTGTGATAATGTGGCAATTAAAACGCTCTGATCAATGATCGACCAGCAAAGTGGCACTGCCGTGAGCGGTTGTAAATGGAGTTGATTGAATTGATTAGAGACGTATTAAGGCCCATTATGACGCTCGATATTGTCGTCTAATTAGGGGAATGTGCATTCCTGTGTTTTAGATAAATCCGACGTCTTTCTGTTTATTGACGACGACTACGAGTTCAACGCGAAGAATGTGCTCAATTACCTGAACAGTCTGACGAAGTTCGAGCGTCGCCAGCTGCTCAGTGGATCCCTAATGACGTGGCGGCGTGTGGTTCGTCCGTTCAAGGACGCCAGTCGAAACAAGTGGGCTGTGACTCGATATGAGGTTCCGTGGTCGCGTTTCCCACCGTTCGCATGGGGCACGGCGACGTTTGTCGGTGCGGATGTACTCAGGGAGCTGGTCGTAGCCGAAGCCTACACGCGCTTTCTGTGGGTGGATGATGCGTTTATGGGCTTTGTCGCAGCTAAATTGCCACATCTGCATTTCCAAAGCATGAAGGGCTTCTACCTCGAATCCACCAATAACCAGAAAGCTCTCATTACTCATATACCCTTCAGGTTCTCATTTGGTTGGGCTTTAGACAATGTAAAACAGTTGTTAAATAACTTGCATTTGTATGTCTCCTTTGTTTCGACAACCGCCAGCTTGACTTGGACAACCAAAGTAGTATTTAGGCGGCCTAATGAGGCGATTTAGGCAGTGCTTCTTCAGATGTATGCCATATTCGGTGTAAGTTGGAGCAGAAGCGCTGATGGAGATCAAATGAGAAGTAGATTTGTGGGGCGCCTCAACAAGTGCAAATCATGTTTGCTTGAACTGACAATTTGTCTGTACAACTACGCACTTAAATGTTCAGGCAATTTACATGCAGGCGATGCTGAATGAGTGGGCAGTAATAATGATCACCTATAACGATCTAAATGAGTGTCAATGGCGTGGAAGAGAATGCTGCGGCAGAACTGCATTGCACAACGATCCTTACCACAGAGCCTTGATTATATCCCATAATCAATTGCAAATACATACTACTGTCTATCGGTACATGCAATTGTCGAGTTCACAAAGGCGCAACTTACCGCAATGTGTACGCAATGCTTTGAGAAGACGTTCCACAGAATATAGCTGGAATAGACGAATGTACTTCGTTTGTATTAGATGCAGACACTTGCAGTGCACTAAAGGAAAGAAAGCCCAACACTCAGACGAAGAAGGCACGAGGGTGTATTTCATGTCGTTGCACACATCCGCCTCAACATAATTGTGCGCTTAGATGAGGAGAACACGCAGCACATCACCTTGATGGCTACGTGGGTGTTCAAGGGGAGGTGCACCAATGCCACACCAGTGACTCAAGCATTTCTCATCCATTAACAGCTACATTATCAAGGCAGCCTAACCACAGCCAAAGTGTTCTTAGTGTTGCTGCTGTTTCTGAAGGCGC